AGATTTGATATGCCTTCCTCTGTTAATAGCAACACCACTGGGACTGAAAATAGAAAATGAGCATTTAATTTAGTTTTTGAATTAAAGAGAAGTAATTAGAATTCTCAGGTTCTTTCTGCTGCTCAGCTTCCAACTTCCCTTCAGCTAAATAAAACGTAATGGAGACGTGCTCACCTTACAAGCTGTATGCAGTAAGAGAGAAACAGTGAAACATTACCTATTTATTCCATTAGTTGTTATTGTGAAACACTTGAAACTATCCCCATGAAGACTGTGGGCCTTCAGAAACACAGCTAGAGAATAAATTAACTAAACAATCAAATACACAGCAACTCTTATACATGAGGGTTACATGGCAGATGCTGCTGCTGGAGAGAAGAGTGATGTAAAATTGTAATCCTTCAGAGTGGATTCTCTACTACTGCTTCACAGAACATAAATTAGCCAAGGAATCGGACTACATTTAATGGGAGAAAGTGCTATTTTCAGGAGTTGGAGGTTGTGATTGCGGCTTTTTTGTTTGTTTTATCTGCTATGGGCAGAGCACGTGCTCCTTAGACAGGAACAAGCAGGAGCCCACAGGCCAAGTAAAGCGGTTACAGTGCAAAGCGTATATTTCACTTGCAAACATTTCAGTTATAAGACTGGAGAAAGATTTTTTTCCTTACTCTTCTGTAAATGTGCCCAGCCTTACGCTGAATAACCATACCATCCATTTAATGCTGTCAATTCTCCAAATCCCTGGACAAATGAGAAGAGAGACTTTTACCCAGGCATGATAAAAGCCATGTTGCCTCTCTTCAGTTCTTGAGGAATCACAGCAGTACCACCACATGATAAACTGCTAACATAAAGGACAATATGAAGTATGTCATAAGCCTATCTCCAAAACACCTAATCAGATAATGAAACGATATGAGAAGATTTTTCAAACGTTTTTTCTCTCTGCAATTCTTCTTAAAGAGGGTTTATTGCTCATATAATGACAAAGAGAAGTAAATTATATTCAGAGATCCTCTGGGAAAAAGAAATATCTTTCAATAATTTGCAAAATGAAGAGAACATATCTAATTGTGTGCCAACTCCTTGTGTTGAACAAAACTAGTCAGTAAGCATGCATATAGAGAGCAACTGACAAGTATGAGTTTCAAACAGAATTCAGGGATTTCAAACCTGGATGTGAGTGATTGCTGGCACTTGTTTCCTCAAAAAACTCATTCTGGAGTTGAATTCCTGACCATTCCCATTGCTCAGTCGGGATCCCTGTAGGTCTGAGGAGGTGAGAGCTGCAAGCATAGGGAAAACAGGGTGCTGGGACTCCCACTGCCAAATGTCTTCTCTGGCACAAAAGTACACAATTACTTTAATGTATCTATATACAAAATACTGGGGGGTGGGGGAGAGAAAACTTCACAGAATCACAGAACTGCAGGGGTTGTAAGGGACCTCCAGAGCTCATCAAGTCCAACCCCCCTGCCAAAGCAGGTTCCCTACAGCAGGTCGCACAGGTCGGCATCCAGGCAGGTCTTGAACATCTCCAGAGAAGGAGACTCCACCACCTCCCTGGGCAGCCTGCTCCAGTGCTCCGTCACCCTCACTGTAAAGAAGTTCTTGCGCATGTTTGTGCGGAACTTCCTATGCTGCAGTTTCCAGCCGTTTCCCCTTGTCCTGTCTCCACTCACCACTGAAAACAGTCTGGCCTCACCATTCTGCCCCCCACACCTTAGATATTTATAGACCTGGATCAGGTCCCCTCTCAGTCTCCTTTTCTCAAGGCTGAACAGACCCAGTTCACTCAGCCTTTCCTCATAGGAGAGATGCTCCAGGCACTTCACCATCTTCGTGGCCCTCCGCTGGACTCTTTCCAAGAGATCCTTGTCTTTTTTGTACTGGGGTGCCCAGAACTGGACGCAGTACTCCAGATGAGGTCTTACCAGGGCAGAGTAGAGGGGGAGGATCACCTCCTTCGACCTGCTGGCCACGCTCTTTTTAATGCACCCCAGGATGCCATTGGCCTTTTTGGCCACAAGGGCACACTGCTGGCTCATGGCCAACCTGTCATCCACCAGGACACCCAGGTCCCTTTCCGCAGAGCTCCCCTCCAGCAGGTCATCCCCCAACCTGTACTGATGCATGGAATTATTCCTCCCCAGATGCAAGACTCTACACTTGCTTTTGTTAAACCTCATCCGGTTTTTTTCTGCCCAGCTCAATACTTGTTGTATATAGATGTTCTTAGCATTGCATGTCTATCTGTACATGGTATGGTGTCTCTCTCACACACATACACGCACACTTTTTGTACTCTTGGTAATACTGTGTTGCTGATTTTTCAACAGCTTCTCCATACAGAACTTGATGTTTTTCAACCATCTCAGCTCTACCCTGTCAAAGAGTTTGTCCCATCACAGCAGGTAACTGACTGAATACAAAACTTTTCACCTACCCCCTGCCTTTTTCACCACCACCAGTCTGAGTGTAGCACAGCTCAGTGGCTTTTTTTTGCTCAACCAATCAGAGCATAGCACTACTTCCCACCCCTTTCCAATCCAGCCAATAAGAGCACAGCACTACATTCAGCCCATTTCAACTCAGCCAATCAGATCACAGTGCCACTCCCACCCCTTTCAGTTCAGCCACTCAGGATTGCAGATTCTACCCCTTCAGCCCAACCAATCATCATGCAGAACAGCCTTCTGCCCTTTTCGGCTTTACCAACCAGACAGCATTGCCATATCCCACCCAGCCCCCCCGTCCTTCAGCTCAGAGTACAGTGCTACATCCCACCTCTTTTCATCCCTGCTAATCAGAGAGCATTATCAGATCTCACCCCCTTTCAGCCCAACCAGAGGACAGCAAGACTTTTTTCCCCTTTCCAGCCCAGTCAATGAGAGAACACAGCATTTCATTCTGGCTTTTTTAGATCGACCAATCATAGCACTTTACCACATCCCACCATTTTCAGCCCACAATGCACAGCAAAATACTGCTGTTTTCCGACCAGCCAACCAGAACACAGTACATCTTTCTGCGCATTTCAGCACAACAAATCAGAACACGACTCTAGTTCCCTCCCATTTTCAGCCCCACCAATCAGAGGGCAGAACAGCCCAACCAATACCTAGTGCAGTACAGCTTTATGCTCTTTTCAGCTCAATCAAAGCACACTGCTACATCCTGCTGCTTTCAGCCCAAATAATCAGAGCATGACATTGCTTCTGGGCCTCGTCAGACCAACCCACCAGACAACAGCACAACCTTCCACCCACTACACCCTCAAAAAGAGCATTGCAGAACTTTCAACACTTTTCAGGCAAACCAATCAGAGAACAGAACAGCTTCCCATCCTTTTTTTAGGTCAACCAATCAGAAATTGCTGCATCCTATCCTTTTCAGTTCAACCAACCAGAGCACAGCAAATCACGACACCCTTTTCAGCCCAGCCAGTCAGAGCCTGGCATAGCTTCCCAGCCTTTACCACCCAACCAATCAGATTGTGGCTCTGCTTCCAAGTCTTTTCAGCCCAACTGAACAGAGGGCACAGGTACTTCCCATCCTTGGAAGACAACCAATCAGAACATGGTGCTACTTCCTCCTTTTCAGCTCGGAGTGTGGCTCTGCTTCCCATTCATTACTACCCATCCAGTGAGAGCACCCACTGCTTCCCAGGCAGAGGGAAACCAGGATGTCGGCACTCCTCTGTCCCATCGCCAAAGTCTCCTCCAGCATCCTGGGGGCAGACAGGGACCTGCAGGACAACCTCTGGAGCTTTGTGCAGGAGGGAAGGAAGCAAGGATTACAGCTACAGGCAGTGGGTTCTGGGCCAGAGCAGTGCAGCCAGGCACGGCTGCACAGCCTGCAATCTGGGCACACAGAGAAAGCTTATCCAGCTGAGGCCCAGGGGACTGTCCTTACCAAGTGCTCTCTGATCCTAAAGGACTGCATGGACTGCACCAGTTCCTTGAGGTCTTTGCTCTGCAGCAGCTCAGAAATCCTTCTGCCCTCTGTTCCCCTGGCCTTCCCCCTGCAATAGCCTGGTGTTCTGCTGCTACTGCCACCTGACAGTTATTAAAAAAAATACTTTCCAAACACAGACTGCATACTACTGTAGATTAGAAAAAAAATAACAACTGAAGGAGGAATGTAGTATTATGTATTAAACTCCTACCTGCTTGAAAACCAATACCAGTTTCTCATCCTGAAGTAACTCCTGAATACCACCTGGACTTTCGTTCATGGATTCAGCATCAGAAGTTGCTTCAGCACATTGGATCCGAGTCTTCAAATCCTACTTTGAGTTGTAGTGTAATTCAGAACACCAAAAAAAATGCGACTGTTCCTTCCAAAACAAAATATATTAAAAGAAAACGTACTCAGAAAACCAAAGACAGTAAACATCAAATGACTTTTCCATGTAAGAGGTGTGTTTTTGGGGTGCTTAGCATCTTCCTATTCACTATGCAAGTTTTATGAACTACAGCAGCTTACAAAATTAAATGTAATTTAATATTATGTTAGCCATCATAAATCATATCATGACAAATTAAGTCTGCGTAACAAAAGTAGTTGCAGGTGATCTGATTCAAACTTGCGTCTGGATCACAACACCATTTGTGATGGCAGGGCGCTGCCACTCAGCTCGTTGGACTCAAAGGTAACTGTGGCATTTGCCGATTTCAGAGAACGTTGCTATGAGGGCACCAATCTCAGAGCAGTTCCTGCAGCTACACTAGACTGCTCCAGAGCTCACCAGGCCACACAAGAGTATTCTAGGGCACACTGAAAACCTTTGAGTTTTCAGCGCTACCTCAATTTTTCCATGCATCAGTGCTTGGAGGCTTAAATACCATCAGAACCAGCAGACTGATGCCACACACTGGTTACTACAGAGATGCTTTTCTCTATTACCATGGCTGCCACTTGGCTCAGTGCCACAGCAAGCAGGGTAGGGGGAAGTGGGGGGGGGGGGGGGGAGGGGAGGGAAGGAGGGGGAGAAAGCATGACATGAAACAGAATTTTATTAAAAAGCATTGTACAGAGAAGTTAACAGGTCAATCCCGGTCAGAGGAATGAAATATATTAACACAGAAATATCAGAAACCATTGAAACACTCCAGGTATTGTTAAAATGCCTAAAAGCTAAAATGAAAACCTATTTCAAGGGACATAGCAAACTGCAAAATAAGGGAAAGCACTTCATTTATTTAAACTGCTAGTACAGTCCTGACTTCTTAAATAGTCTGGTACTTAAAATAGCACACCAATGGCTATTCTTTCAAAAGTAGGTCATGTAACTTGAAGCCACATGCACTGTTTAGAAAGTCAAAGCTAAATTCATTCAGTGCAATTATTCAAAGTTGACTTAGATTTTCTTTACACATCATGGAGTACTCAGCAGTAAAGTTTCAGTAATTGACCAACCCCAGCTTTGTTATGTCTTGGGGTTTGTGTTTTTTTTTTTTTTTTTTGTTTTTTGTTTTTTTTTTTTTGTTTTTGTTTTTGTTTTGTTTTAAATAGTAAAGCCATTTTACACAGTAAAATGCTTTCATCCTTTTAGCATGAGCTTAAATTGGGTGACAGGAATAGGGAGATGCTTGTGAACTCCGTGCCATTTGGCTGCAGAAGAACAGGACTATACCATACAAGGCAGATGAAAAACTGAGGAAGGACCCCAGGAACCAATCACAGGAAATCCTCTGTACATACACAAGGAAAAGGGAATGACCAGGGTCAAACCATGGGTTAGAAATATAAAAGTCTTCTAAAGGATTCAAGGCTTAAACAGCCCCTCAGCATATGTAGCAAGGGTTTCTTTGCGGCTATTAAGTTAATTTAACCTGAATAGGAATGAATCTAAGCAGAGTGAAAGAACTTTAGGTACAAATGAAGAGGCTATTTTTGCTTCAGAAAGCACAAATACCATAGTTCTGTAATAAAAACCATTCTTCAGATAGCTGCCTCCTCTGACAGATCAGGGAATCAGTTTTTCATAACCGTCTCAAAGTCTCTCAAGAAAGACTCCTGCGATGAAGGCTGTCACCAGAAGAGCTCTTCAGTTTTCCTTAATCAGAACTGCCTGTCAGATGACAGATTACCAGCTCCCTAAGAAAGATAACGCGTCTCTCCAACCCCCTGCCCCCAGGATCCTTTAATATATAATATGGATTTTTGTCTCATTGGAAGAGTTTGACTTTCTCAACAAAAACTCACTAGTCATACGACTGAACTTCAGGAAAGATGTGCAAACAGATTTGTAAACAATAATGTGATTAATAGAAATACAGTATGTCATACACATTTTTCTTTTTTAAAATAAAAAAACCTTGTCAAACACAAGGGCACAAGAGACAAGTTTAAAACAAAAGCAATAATACTAAACTGTCATACAAAATTAGGAGATGGTGCATCCTTAAGCATGCTTCAGTCTAGAACTCTAGAGATCCCCAAGAAATAAAGAACTTGGCATAGCAACAGTGAAATAAGAACAGCTAGGACTAACCCCCATCTATTTCAGGACTGTAAATCTGTCCTAAAAGTCTACACTTCTATACACACATACACTACTTCACTGCAAGCCATTCACTCATTCTCCAATTAGTTCTTAAATTTAACAATATCTATCACAAAAAGTATGCTGTTTTAATGCATGCAGACTGAAGGAATCCATATGCTAGTCTTAAACCCTGGGTATATCTTCCTTTAAATTAAGCAGGAATTGCTCTGAGCAGGGTACACAGCATACAGTCTCTCTGGCATTTAAAACCAGAACACAATTTATGTTAGGAAATATGCATGAAGATAGAGAGTTGGGGCACTACTGCTGTGTGGTAAAGAAAACATGAGGTTATGCCATCCTCCTTTATCACTAACTCCCAGAGAACAACTCCGGGTAACAGAGGTTACAGAACTCATTCCTGACATCTTTTCAATGTCCACATTCTGTCTGCCCTGCTTACAGATGTTTATTTGGTTATGAAACATTAAAATGTGAGAGAACTGATTGATCTTGGCATAACTTATAGGAGGTTATAGTATATAAGTTACAGTTCAGTAAAATATTTGTGTACTTCATGGCAGAGTTTGGAAATGAATGGCAACATATGAGACTTGGCCAGCAAAATAATTTTCTGTGAATTTATACAGACCCCACCATATGGTACAGTTCTGACCATTGACTACAGGGCTTCACTGTTCTTCTTCAACAAGCAAATTTCCCAGTATCACCATACTAATATAGTAGTAGAAGAAAACTTGTGCTAAAAAAAAAAAAGTCTCCTGAAGTTAGTGAAAATAATATACAGTACCAATGAACAACCATGTTGGTGACAAAACTAGAATTAGGAAGGTAAAACAGAAGTCCCAGCTCCATAGCTGGGTCATTACCATGCTCCCAGTGGGAGAAACAGTTACTGGAGATGAAACAGATACAGGGAGGGGTCTGCAGGAACCTGCAGTCAGCATTCTTCTGGTACACATGCAGAGAAAGTAGAAAACAGACTGAAATAAAACTAATTTCAAAATGGCTTATTGAAAGAGGTAACAATACAAAGTTTTGGTTAGGGAAAAAAAAAAAACCAAAAACAACAGTTCTGATGAACTGCATGATTTAAGTTGGCACTGCTCCTGGTACGCGTTACTGAACTTCCCTGTAATCCAGCCAAGGATATGCCTGACAAAGGAGATTTTTGCTGTAGAATCCAGAAACAAGAGCTGTGCAGAATGGCTACTGTTGCAGCCTGTGGACACATTGGATTTACCTCAGATCCTAGAAGGACCACTAGTGTACCCATTTCAGTCAGTTTTCTGACTGCTAAAGTAATACCACCTTATTCCATGCAATGCTTTAACACCTTGTCATTTTCAGTAATTCATACACAGCCTATAACTGGATCCCTTTTCCAAACCTTAAGCCAAATTTGACTGAAAGTACAGTCAAACTCAGTAAATCGAAATTCACTTGTGTCCTTAATGCACTGATTTCTTGTATAAACATTTTTTCCCCTGAATTAAAGAAGGAAAAGGAAAAAAAAACTTACAACATTTGATACCCGAGGCTATGCAATTTTACTAGCTTGGAAAACAATTTGTTCTTTAGTAAAAGAAACCAACCATTTTTTCTGCATTTCAAATGGTCTCCTGTTATCAGGAGAAAAATTAATGATCTTTTGGTGACATCTAATTTAAAAGTCAACTCTTTGAGTGGGTAGATAATAGCAGGACAAGGGGAAATGGTTTTAAGTTGATGGAGGGAAGATTTAGGTTGGATGTCAGGGGGAAGTTCTTTACTATGAGGGTGGTGAGGTGCTGGAACAGCTGCCCAGAGAGGCTGTGGATGCCCCATCCCTGGAGGTGCTCAAGGCCAGGTTGGATGGGGTCCTGGGCAGCCTGGTCTGGTATTAAATGGGGAGGGTTGTTGGCCCTGCATGCAGCAGAGGTGGGGGGGTTAGAGCTTCGTGATCCTTTAAGTGCCTTCCAATCCAAGCCATTCTATGACTATGAAAAACAGGACAAGAAAGTATCTGTAGTAATTGCATTTGGCCAACAATCATAGCCTGATGTCTAGGATATTCACATAAGAATTCTATATTGCTTAGGAATCCAAAAAATGGAATGATCGAAACATTAAACTGTAGCACCATTAATACTTATTTTCCTAAAACATCCTAAGGGCTAGAACAAAATCAAAACAGAACAGAAACATTGTGCTTACATTGCATTGATAGAAAACAATGAGTTGGTCGTACTTGAGTCTGTACTTCAGTAAAGTCTGGCCACATTTACAGTTCTACCGGAATGGTATTGGAAAAGGTCACACTTTGCTCAGCAGTTTTCTGCGTTTCATTCATCCTGTTTCCTTTTGGGCTTTTTGGGATTCCGAGATCGGCTTTTTGCCTTGCAGAGTGGACATATTGGTGCATTCCGATGAATTTGCTGGTGACAGGATAAACAGGCCTGAAATGCAACATTGCAGCCTTTTGTTACAAACATTTAGGGCAGCACTGATACATTAGTTACTGGGTATCATATTCTAAGATACAGTACATAATAACAAAGACTTCTTGCTTTCAAAGGCAAACCAATGCCAATTTTTATTTCCAGGTCTCTGAAAAACAAGGCCAACTGAAAAACAAGACCATGTTGTTTCATACTGTTTTGCATTGAAGTGAAACTACATCTCAGCAAACACGTGGTTTAGGCCTTTTTGTTTTTGTTTGTTTGTTTTTATAATTTCAGCATGAAAATTATTTTTGTTTAAACTTTCCACATTTTAAAGATCTCTACATGAGTAACAGCTCACTGAGCCGCAAGTTACAGTGAAAACTGATTGCAGTTTCACAGAATTCAAGGCAGAGAAGGTGATTAGATGAATTCTACATATTTAACACAAGACACAGCACACTACTGTTCTGTTTCATACTAAGCCCTTTAACTTCCATTTGAATGAAGCATATTGCTCTCAGAGAGGTTTTTGCTGACCTAACCCTAAACATGAAGTACATAACTATGAAATATACTTACCTCAGTTTAACCCCCTAGGCAGTGAACCTTTGGAACCTGAGTGGAATAGATACACCTATAGAATTACAATTTTTTATTTATTTTTTACTGACTACAGAAAGAGCTGAGTGTAACTGCTGATGGGATGGTAGTACACCTCTCTTAAGTGCTTACAGTTAGGCTGAATTAATCCACACATTAGTCTTGCACTGCTATGGAGAGTCTCAAGTCACAAATTAGTCAAATAAAGCAGAGCCTTGTCCTTAATCCTTGATGACTGGTGCAACTGGTTTAAGTTTACTGGGGTTGTTACTGATACAAACCCCTACAGAAAAGATCAGAACCAGGACACGTTTTTCCTTTTTGTAAATACTGATCAAGTTAATAAGCACTGTACATTCCAATGACACGAAAGAAAAAACAGCACAATTTCCTAACCTTCATTGGAGGTGGCTGTTGTCTAAACGTTGCTGTCTGTCTGGTATCTTGCTTCCTAGCCACTTGCAGCTGTTGGGCAGCTGCTGCAGCTGCAGCCAGAGACTCTGGGATGGGAGGCTCCTGTGGTTCTGTCTGCCATTCAGCTTTCTGCTTTTCAAAGTAGCTAGACCAATAAATAAATTATTAATTAAAAATAAGCACCTTCTGGACTATGCCATTATTTCATGGAACATTTTGTGTTAAAGTATAATGATTTATATCTCCACGTTATGTTCCTCCATTAGAGTCAAGTTGCCTATGTTTAGACACGTTTACATCTGTAAATATAACTATTAGTATTTTCCTTTCCATTTGTACACATCAGAAGGAGTTCAGAAGAACAGCATTGACTTTCTGTTTCTAATACATCTTGATCTATAACTGAATAGAAATCTAATAGGCTATAAAATATATAATATACATACTTAATCTTTAATAGTGTTACATTCCCTTATGAAAACCTATTTTTAGATTTTATTCTGTTAAAGTTCATATTTTAATGCAATAGATTTATATATTCTTTGTAGTTTCAAGCTGCTTTCAATAGAAAACTATTTCTGAGAAAATCCAACACCTCTTAACTCCTTTCTTCCGACTGTTAACAAAAAAAAAACAGCAAAATAATCAGTAGCATCAAAAAATGGTGTAAAGCCAGACAGCGTTTACTTGGAGACTTACTCAAGGGACAGTTTCTCCTCTTCCTCACACAAGTCTGGCAGCCTCTGCAAGCCCAGTGTCATTCGCAGAGCATCTACATGCTCCTTTAGGGGTTTGTACTCCTCATGCAGGCGACGAGTAGATTCCAAGAGTTTATTGAGATCATTCTCAGACTGCTTGATAGTATTCTCCATCTGAAACAGAAGGATGAATATGGTTTTAAAAGGACTATTCTTTCAATAGCTCTCTGAGCAAAGGAACTGTATCAAAAAGAAAAGCTTTTCCTCACCAAAGTTAGAAGATATTGGAAACAACACAATAGTAAAGCAAAGAGTTTTGGTTAGAATTATCAAGCTAAGAAAAGGTTCCTGTTTCTCTTACTGCAGTAAATGGAAAAAGAGGTGGAAGAAGACTATGTTAGAGAAAAGAGAGAGAGAACGAAACTTACTGAGAAAAGGTGTACAATTGGGTAGAGGAACAGCAACCTCAAGTGGAAAATATCTGCAGTCTGTTCATCCAGAGCATAGCTTGTACTTGCTTGTAATGTGAAAATGCTTTATCTCTGGTGCAAAGCACAGATACCCTCAGACTAAAAAATCACTGTACAGTCACGTCAGTGTCCTATCGTAATGAACTCTCCACTTAGTCCTTCTAATTGACTAATATTCCTTCTTTATAGGCTGTTTTTCTCTTATTTGTATTTCCTTCAGGCTTGTGTTTCTTACTGTACTGAGGTAATGTCTGGTGGTTCCATTCAAAGTAGAAGATCAGTTCTTTCTAACAGCTTCACAAATATCACACATTTTCCTGAAATACCTTTTCTTCCCAAACAAAAACAGTCAAAAATTCCAACTAACTGCCTGTAACTGCTAAATGAGAAAAGACTTAATCATTTTCTATGGGACTGCCAGAATGAAGTTACTATGACTACTGGTGAAATTCTACAATGGACTCTGTCATCTAGCCCCTTGATCCAAATGCTTTCCATGCTAACATCGTAAAATAACTTGGCCAAAGCAGACGGGGGGAAAAAAACATTTTCTATATTAAATTTACTTTGTAGGATCCCAGAATGGTGTTGCATAGTGAAGTCCAAATAATTGAACACGTGAATGGACACGTGCAATTCTACAACTTGCGGCCTTATTCACATACAACTGCCATAGGCTTGTCTGCATCAGGACTGTTGCATACCACATTAATATCCGCGTGGATCAGACGCAGCTCCTCCACATGCGCCATCTTCTCTTGCAGCAGCAGGTCCATTTCTTGTTTGTATTCTTTCAGGTGCCTCTCCTCAGACTCCAGGGCTTCAAACTCAGCTTTTAGACGTGCCTTTATTTTTTCCATCTGCAAAGTCTTATTTCTGGATCCCAATAATAATTACAAATACAAAGGGATAACAGTAAGTAATTGCAAAATACTTTTGTGAGGCATCACATGCAGGTGAAAAAAATGCATGAAGCAGGCATCAGTAACAGACATGAGTGAAAAATAAGACTTCTCTAGTACCTTTCACATATTTCTGTTTCTGCACACATCCTGCATTCCGGTTCTTTTTATTTTTATTTTTTGCCAATCTGTAATAAAAATATTTAGAAACCCAGTTCATATCTCTGTCTTCAAAGCTAGAAATCAAAGGGTGTGAGTTTCAGGCATCAGACATTTTTAAGAAGCAGGTGAGCAGAGCAAACACCATGTTCTTGCTCTTGGTCACATTTGTGACACATTATTTTCTCTGTACCGGAAGTCAGAATGTGACACACCATAACCAATAAGCCAGCAACACTGAAGTGTTTATAAGAACAGCCCACATTGTCACTTTCCAAACACATAATAAAGAGTTCCAGGATCCCTTGCTTCACCTTCTATGAAACAAACAAGAATACACAATTCCTTTTTAGTCATGTAACATCTACTACAACTACCTCCAGACTTGTTTTCAAGTTCATTACGCAGTAGGCTTCCTATAGACACAGTGTAAAAAAGGGCAGGGGAAAAGGGAGCTTGTGTTTGTACTTAAGTTTCCTCACCCTCATGCAAAGTGAAGCAAGTCTGATTCAATTTCAACATAAGCAGTAGGGCTGAGCAGAAAGTATTCTGTAGATTACAGGAAGGTGACTATCAGATGAACAGTAAGATCTAAGAACATGAATTTCACACCAATACTAGAAAAGGGTGCATGACTTCCTTTCCCACCCAGACTTTGAGAAGGCCTTGTTTCAAGAACAGCATCTTTTCTCACTCTTATTGCATCAAATTGCACAGTTAGAAGCATATTCTACTTATCTGCAGGGGCACACCAGAAGTACAAGTAGAAATCCTCCCTCTATTCTGTTTGCTTAATAGCAGGATGCCACCATTACACTAATGGCACAGTACCATCTCAGGTCTTCCTTGTTATCTTCGGCTTTAACAGAGTTCCTGTTTTCTCTAATTCCAACAAAATAGCCTGAGGACTATTCTTTAAAATACACAGTAGATGTCTAACTGATTCTATTCCTTGACCAGAGCTCATCCTCAGTCACTCTCCTTCTTGGGGATGCTCACACTGTGACTGTGAATCCTCTCAGTCCCCTTGTTCCTGTTTTCCAAATTAGCCTCAATTAGTGCAACATATGCTTATGCCCCAAGTTTTTGTAACCCTTTTATTGACTGCCTGACACATCACTAGCAGACGGAATTTGCACAACAGGGTTTCACCAATTGCTGAAGACCACGGCAGAAAGCTGACTCAGTCAGTCCCTAGGACAACCAACTGTGGCCACCTGTTCCAAGAACTACAGTTTCAATTGTTCCCTCTCTCACTTCAGGAGCTTATGAAGCTGCAATAGATAAAAATAGTATCATAAATAATTTTGCAATATTGGTGGGGTAGACAATTAGATCTTAGAGGTCTTTTCCAACCTTAGAAACTTGATTAGGAATCAAAAGTAAGGTGAAGATGACATGTCACATAGCTAGAGGAGGAGATTACCTAAATATGTAAAGTTTCTTAAAATATACACTGTATGACTTTAAAAAAAAAAAAGCCTCTGAACAAAAATGAATTACACTTACCCAATTTTTATAGATGAATAAATCAATTTTGAAATGGGATTTATGGACACAGATTTATTTGGCAAGTTTTTGGGTTTTTTTTCCCCCATTTGCTATACTAGCCATATAAATATTGGAGTTATATTAGCAAAAGAGATCATTGCTATCCCCCATTTTATACGTGGAAATACCTCATTAAAAGTATAATCCAAACACACTGGTTTTCACCAGACATCATTTATTTAAAGCATTCACTTAGTAGTGGCATCTTTGATCAGTGAGACTAGGAGGATTTGTTCCAAGTTTCCACACAACGCATGTTTATGACACGCATTCACTAACAGGAAATAGATGACCTTCCACACTTTTACCAGGCGCTGACAGCTATCCTCCGCAAAACTGCTACACTGAATGAGTTGCAGGGCATTATTTCAGTTCAAATGATTAGCTTTTGGTATAAGAAAAAGCACACACAACTTTATAAAAAGCCCTTCATATTAACATCAGGTAACAGGCAATGATGCTCTGAAACAAAAAACAATATTGTGATTTCTATACTGCCTAATGAAATCGGCCCTCGTTCTCTACCCTTCTATCTAAGTTCTTAGACTGCAATGATAACAGTAGTAACTAATTGTGTCCCAGTATAACATGAAGCAGTGAAGCTGGCATCTGCTGTGGATAAGTTCACACATACCCTCTGATCTTCTCCTGGTCAGAACACTGAGTTCCAGTATTTACACATTTGCTTAATTTTACAGCTACAATTAAGTTAATTTACATAATGCATATCAATAAGTATGTGCAGATATGTCTGGACTGGGGGCTTATACTTTACTGACAGCAGTAATTCCATACTAATTGTGTTTATTTGTACACATCTAGGAAAGCAGGTTTTCAGAATCGGATTCTAGAATCCCAAAAACCCACCTGACATGCCTTTAATATATGACAGAGAGCACCAACAGAAATAAGCAATTTATTTCAATAGCAAGGTTTTCTTTTCCTCTGCCTGTAGAATACTACCCTGAATGCAAATTAAAGCCTGCCAGATGTATCAAAAGTATATTTTCTTTGTAAGCATAAGAAAGTCTCATAGTTATTTTGAATGAAATTCTTCACAGAATGAAAGGATGTAGGTACCTATTTTAAATAGGTAGTTTTTGGCCACATTTTGTGAAAGGAAATTCAAAATTGACATCAGTGCCTCAAGCAGGATTTTTGCTTGTTTTAACTCATGTTCAAGCAAATTTATTAATACATCATGTAGTAAAGCTTTTTATTCACATTCAGCATCTTATACCATAAACTAATCTAAAAAATGTCTTAATTGCAGTGTTAACGTACTACTTAAATACATTATCAGAAAACAGAATGTGCCATGTAATTAGATATTTAAATTCAGTGTAATAATTGGACCTCAAATAGGTCATATCTACACCTACATTTTAAAAAAGCATGCCTAGTATCTAAGTAGAAAAGCACTATTCTTACTCTGCAAAGCATGTGCTATCCCATCTTTTTCTACATGTAGTCTTGGAATGCTTGACATAGGAATATTTTTGCCCGATCTTTGTTCATCCTCATGGTATAGCATGAAAAAGGCACAGGCCCATACACTGTTGCCTTCTTCACCTTTTTACATGGGTAAAGAGTGCTTATTAAAGGTGCTAATACCAGGCAGAAAGACACCTCTGCAGCAACTTCTGTGCAGAGCCAGGCAGCGGCTCCTTTGTCCACTGCCTGTACTGCAAACGTACCCATCGACAGCCTCTCTTCAGCTGTCATGCCCCCAAACACTTACCACTTCAATGGTAATCCTTCAGCAGCTCACCCTTCAACTCTCAGCTTCATTTCAGATCATTGCCCACACTTCCTTTGTAAGATGCTTTGGCTTTGGATACATTAACTTCTGCTAAGTATTGACAGTTTAGGCCTTACCTGAATATCAGTGTCCTAAGTCCAAGAATGCCAACGTCATAAAGCTTAGAAAGCTTAAAAGCTTAGAAAAACATACCCCTGAACAAATGATGCCATGCATTGGTGTCTATGATCCCTTCCTCTTTCAATGCACCCTGTTAGATATGCTGTATGGAGAGCACTATATACAAATTCCTGTTGTATCACATTGCACAGAACAGCAGAGCAAGACAGCTGCTTGCCTTTGTGGCAGATCCTCCAGATGATGACAGAAATAACATAGTGCCGTTGTTTCCCTATCCATCACCACCACAACACTGTCACCCCAGCACGCAGCCCTGATCCTCCCTTCAGAGTGCTACTCAGAAACAGCAGGCTTCTGCTATCTTTCCCTGCCAGTCTTAGGCACTGATTTCTCCACAGGCTCAGACGCTTCCTTTTTCCAGCAGACACATATACTCCAAGCTCCCCACAGGCCGCAATCTCGGAGCAGTAGAGGCTCCTCTTCCCTGGCAACTGAGCAGCCCCACGACCACCCACGAGCTCCTGCCCAGCTGCACTCGGCCGTCCCAGTCCTGCTCGGACACCAGCTCCATGCCGTTCTTTGGGGCACACCCATCCTCAGCTTTCCGTGACAGCCCCTTCCTTTCCCAGCCTGTTAAGGCTCCTGCCGGCGGGGGGCGAATAGTGCAACTGCGTGAGGCGTAATACTGAATTTACAACAGACAGATTTAGGGATGAGAAAATAAAATCCAAAGAGTTTAAGAGAAAGCACTCACAATCGAACACCTCTCCCCCAGCTGCACGGGGCTGAATCTGCCTTCCCCACCCACATGCTTTTCCTTCTCGTTATGGTATTACTGAGCTAATGTTCTGGAAACCTATGATCGTTGCCGCCGTTTGTTGCACATTCCGCTGGCATTTCCCAGCTCCAGATGTGCCTTTTCCAACTAGAAAAAACGTATTTTTAGCTCTAATCGTAAAGCTTGGGATGGTTTTTCTTTCCCTCAGTAGCACAATAGCTACTTTCAGATCGATGCAACTACTCTACTTTCCCGAGGAGAAAGCTGCTTCACGTAACTGATGCAGCACAAAGCAAACATACCTGATCTCCTTGATGCTCTCGAGTTTGCACATGATCTCTTGCTCATCTGCCATGCTTTTCACTCCCGATTTAAATCTACAGCGAAAAGTACAAAATGCCAGGGGGAAAAAGAAAGAAAACACATACAATAGATACAACGTAGTCACCCCCTCCTAGCATAAGGTCTCTGAGCCTGTGCGGTAGGCTCTAGCGGGATCTATGGGACTTAGAGTCCAGCTTCCTCAAACTGCCTAGGCAGACATGCGGCAGAAAGACTACAACACCCACAATGCAAAGCAGAGCTCCCCCTCACCCCCCCCCCCCCTTCTTCCTGCAAGTAGATTTTAAATCAGCTTGTCACGCCTCATTTTGTCAGAGGTTGTTAGGAGTGCAAAGAGGGAACGAGGTGCCCTCCTGAAGTGTATGCAATATTTAGGATGTCATTAAAATCAGGGAATAAGCACTAAGGGATCATTTGATGTGATGGCGATTTTGAGGTTCTTCCTCCTCCCTCCCCCAACCAAAGCATGCTATAGCCATTATTACTACTATGCTGTTTTCTCCCAGGTGTTCTGACTTAGGAGTGCATTTGGAGCTCAGTAGAGACGTATCTTATTCTTTGGGATTTTCTTTTGTATTTCTGACACTATTGGTAGCATTTTTTGTTTTGAAAACAAAAACAGTACGTGAATGCCAGGTTGAGAACACTGACCATTTGCCTGAGGACATTCTACCCATGCATATCAGAGCACTTCACCAGGACTGCTGAATAGACTTCCAGCCATTCGTCACACAGGTAATTATCTTCCTTCAGTTTCTGTCGTGAACAAAACGTTTATTTTTTTTGAAGACAACAGTTTTACATCTCAGCACTCTGAAAGACTTCTTCCTGAAGGATCCACAGAGTAAATTCCTGATTCTTCACCAGTATACCCAAGCAATTACCTAGCAGTTCCCCAGTTTTTATGGTCACGCTGGGTTGAAAGATCAATGCATCATAAGAAATGAAAGCTCAAGGCCAGACAGCAGGGAAACCAGATCATAAAGTCTTCAACTTAAGTATGTTTACATGCACAAGCATCAGTACCATAATCTAATGAATACAGTGTACCACTCATCAGTCAGTAGCATGAGGCCAATGAGCACAGGGCGATTAAGTGGGATGTGTTACCCAATTGTTATATACGGAAGGCAAGTAAAAATGGACATAACAGAGCAAAGCAGCAAGATTGGTAAGAGTTTTGGGGTACATGAAAGGCATCCGAATGTGACAGCATGGCCAAAGTAACATAGCACTTGGTTGATCTGTTTGAGTCAAGACTTGTTCTCACAGAACTAAACGTCTTGAGTCTGTTGCATACACGGATGCAGACTAAAGGAAAACCGGTCCCCCTCACATGTGACTGTGCCTGGAATACTAGCGGACTAGAATGGGAGGTAATAAGCAGAGCATGAGCCACAGGAGGGTCACGGTCCAACTCCAGCTCTGAGCAACTCTGGATGGAATAGATGGAGCTCGTAACAGCAAGAGTCATCCTCTCTGTAAAAGCTGTTAAAAAAAGTTTTCATAGCAAATAATCCACTAGTCAGATGAGAAAAGTCTACAAATCATTTAATAAGCCAAACAGAAAGGTTTGGACAGATTTCAGTCAAATTTCTGACTACACAGTGTTTCAGTAGGAAAGGACATCTGGACAGTAGAGGATTCTCCGTATCATTCTTAACTATTCACATAATGTTGTCCACATTAACCCAGGTACTGCAGATCCCTGCTTTGAGGCAGGGGTTTTGCAATGATTAGCGATGAGTTATGAGGCTTATAGCCTTCTATTACAACAACCTGCTTCTTGTCATCTTCAGTGTCCTCTCAGACATTCCCTCCTGGGGACTGAGTGAGCTAACGTACATTAATATGAATTATGAATATTGTATATGAACATGAATTCAAATGTCCACAATAGGTTTTCATGCCAGAGAAAGCACTCAAAGGCCAGAAAATGAAAGAATGTGTCAGAGAGGAGGAAAAATCATCACCAAAAATTACTGAGAATGAGAAAGGGTGGGCAGCCAGAAAGTTTGGAGAAGGGATGAGGTGCTAGATTCATACAGCTGCCTGGAGGGCTGGAAAACAGATCTGAAAAAACACCTAATCTGGAATTTGTTTTTTGGGGGCTTCCAAGGAGTAACTCCCATTTATCTGTAAATATTTATACACCCATTCATTTAATTTGAAGAAACTGAGCTGTATTAACATTCAATTTCTTATGTACTTACCTCAAATGTTGTCAAGTACTTTGTCATGTACTGAGTGTAGTTGAGGAGTTATACAGTTTTCTCTTACACACTCAGCTGAGCTAAGATGAAAACTATGAAAGTATCACTTGTCTCCTTTGGAAATGACATACACAGTTCAAAACAAACACAAAGAACCTACTGAGAAACCAGGCACAAAAATTAAAGCATATGAGAAAACTGTAAAATATTCTGTGTAACAAAAGGGATTCAGGTTTGTAGAAGGGAAGGTGACAGGTTGGCATTGTGTCCTTCATGAAAACTTTTAACACCTGTGTATGACATTAGAACCAGTACAATGCAGCTCCCTGCTTACTCTTTCCACTGAAAAAAATATATTTAGTCATCTTTAAGTGTTAGCATTTGTGCAAAACTACAAAACGTTAGCTTTAGAATAACAAAAGGAAGAAGCAATCATTAGAAGGATTCAAAATTAAGGCAGACTATTTCATAACAACAGAGTAGATAGCCATTGCTTTCATCAGGCTTTAAATCAGTCTCCAGATAAACAGCAATCTTTAGGAGCATGCAATTAGCTTGAGCTCTGCATCCACATCAGGGCCTGCTGTGGTAACAAACACATCCTACTGTTCTCTCAGTTGTGAAATCATCACATCTGTCTTCCTGAGCCCTCTATCCTATGCTTCCTGTGAAGTACAGCGAATTTGCATATTCTTTCAACTCATACTGGTTCGGGAAATGGGGCTTTTTTTCCCCCCCCTCCTCATCAATGAATAATATGGATATTTGTATGTGACTTCTACTGCTATTGCTATTCTATAACAGTCAAATTTATGAATACTTTTTCAGTGTAACTTTCAGCAAAGTGACAGAGAAGAAAGAGAGAAGCATGTACTTGCACCATTCCTAGCAGTTGAGGTGAGCAGGTGTGGAAAAGCCTGGAGAGATTTACCAGTATTTTGGTGTTTGTACACTCTGAGATCTCTGGTGTTCCTAGAGATGAAAAAATCACTTTCCACATTGCAAAGTAAAATCTGGATGTCATGAGGCATGTTGCTTTAAGGGCAGAGCAGAGGGCCAAGGATTAGGACAAGCAGATTACTCTTTCAGCTCTGATGTCAGTACTCGCAGTTCAAGCGCATTCAAGCTGGTGGCATGCAGCATTTGTTTCATGGACTGGGACAAGTGCCTTTACATGTGCGTGTTCCACATTTCATGGTACATAAAACAGATAGTGCTTTGTGTGCCCTGAAATCACAACACTGTTGTATCATGCCTATTCTGGCACTCTACAAATTTAGGTATGGGGAAATAAATAACTGTTCTCTTTCAACATACAGTTATTATTGTGTGGGTTTTTTTTTCTACCCCCAACAGAAACTGAAGGGCTTACACATACAACTGCTATTGAAAAATAAACCTTTTGATTTCCTGGTCCTGAACCTTACTCCCATTTGAACCTTTAAAACCAGGCACTAGTAGACATACAATACAAACAAAAATCAGTACCACCATGCTATTGAGCACAAGTTTGAACTTCACTGCATTTAAAAAATAAAGTACTTCTTCAGTCCACATACTGTTATCACTAGCGACAAATAGCACAGAACAGTTCCAAATTGCAAGAATGACTACTCTCCCCCACATTTAACACTAACACGATGGAAAGGGCAGCAGTAACAGCAACGCAGCAAAATCCCACACTGCAGCAAGCAACAACTCGTGCAAATACAGCAGCACAAAAATAAAGGAAAGAACTTACCTTCAAAAGGCTTGTTACACAGGGACCTCCAGCAAAACACCCCCCCCGCCCCCTGCCAACCCTTAAATGAGGGCTGGGGAGGGGTGGATCCTGGCTCCACCCTTTCCATTACCCAGATACATTGCATGCACCTGAGCTCCCCTAGTCTGGCCCTGCCTTCCTACTAGGTGCTCTATCACTGCTTCAGGCTGCAACTCAGCATTTCTGTCTACTTTTGTAGACAGACTTACTACCACTTTTGTAATCATCCTCACTATAGTAATTAACTCTGTAACGCTGGGATGTAATGGTGACTTTTTTTTCCCCCAGTATGGTCTGGGTTTAACATGTTACTGCATATCTTTTTATTTATTCACTACTTTCTTTAAAAAATGCTATTACGTTCTGTGTTCTTTCCTCATTACAGAAAGCTTATACTCATCATCACATCTGCTGGACTTTTTCCACACACATAGAGGGGAAATATTATAAGTGAAATGTTGTTTTCAGGATGATTTGGGAAGCCAGAGGCAGTCACAAGCAACGCTGACAGGTGCAAATAGCATGCCAGCTCTGAGATCTTAAGATTATTTTATCAGCTCTGGAAGCATTGGTTATTTCTTTAGTTAATCCTTCAAAGTATGCTGTGAGAATATCCATCAATAGCCTAGATCTGGCAATGGTTTAAATATATTTAAATTTCACAGAACCACAGAGTTGCAGGGATTGGAAGGGACCTCAAGAGATCATGGAGTCCAACCCCCTGCTAAAGCAGGTACTCTACAACACGTGGCACAAGTAGGCATCCAGCTGGGTCTTGAATAACTCCATTGAAGGAGACTCCACAACCTCCCTGGGCAATCTGTTCCATACTCTGTCACCCCTCTCCTAAAGAAGTGCTTCCATGTGTTAGTACAGAACTTCCTGTGTTCAAGTTTTAGGCCATTAGTCCTTGTCCTATCGCTACACTCCATCAAGAAGAGACTGGCCTCATCCATTTGCCTCCAACCTCCCTTCAGGTATTTCTAAACATTTATCAGATCCCCCCTCTGTCTTCTTTTCCCCAGGCTGAACAGATCCAGTTCACCCAGCCCTTCCTCACAAGGGAGATGCTCCAGGCCCTTCACCATCTTTGTGGCCCTCTGCTGGACTTCTAGGAGATCCTTGTCTTTTTTCAACCAGGGAGCCCAGAACTGGACACAGCAGTCTAAATGCAGCCTCACCACAGCAGAGTAGAGGGGGAGGATCATTTCCCCCGATCTGCTGGCCACGCTCTTAGTAATGCACCCCAGAATTGTCACGTCTTTTATTTCATCTTCCATCCCATTAATCTGCAAAACTGGGAAAACGTCTCTAGTACTGCACATCATCCTTCCCCCAACCACACTGATTTCAATAAAGGCACGAGGTAGCCTTTTTCCCATTCTTTTGTGTAACTCGAGCACATCAGCCACTCGAGGACTTATTTCCAAGGGACTCTTGAGTTGTAAGACGTTGGTTACGAGCAAGAGAATATCTCAGTGGCGGACTTACTTGCCGAAACGCGCCCGAGAAGCACCGCAGCACGCGTACTAGCGCCGCGCGTGACTACGGCCGCGCGCCCGCCGCTCGCCCCGCCGGTTGGGGCGGGATAGGCGCCCGCACTGCCCTTGCGCCGGGCAGGAACGGAAGGCTGTGCGCGTTCCTGCTAGCGGGCAGCGCGTGCGCTGCCTCCGGGAGCGCGCGGGCGCCGCGAGGAGTCGGGCGTCTGCAGCAGCGGGGGCTGGGCGTGGTTGCTAAGCGACGGCGCCCGGGCAGCGGCGCCGGCCCGGCAGAGATGAGGCGGAGGCAACGGCCTCCGCGCTCCCGCCGGCGCTGAACCCTACTCCCGCACCTTCCCCCGTCTTTCTCCATCCCGTCCCGCCCGGGCTTTGCCGCCCCCTCCCTCCAACCCTCTTCCCTCTCCCCTCGCTCCAGTCTGTCCTTCCCCCTCCATGCGGCGGGAGCGGTCGGCGTGGGGCCCGTGCCGCGGCCGCGCCGAGCCCCGCCATCCCTCGCCTTTCCGCCGCCAGATTCAGCGAGGAGCCACGGGCGGCGTCTGCAGCGACAACAGCGGGTGAGGCCCCGGCTGAGGAAAGGGGTGGCGAGGGAAGCCGTGGGGCGGCCGGAGGAGCGGCGGCGCCCTGGCGGTGGCGGACGCCCTTTCCCGGCGCGGCACGGGGGCTCTGCGTGTCGCGAGAGGACGGCAGGGCGCCCCCTGCTGCCCGCCGGCGGTCTCCGGGCTGGGCCTCTTTCGAGCCGCGGCCTTCCGCAGCTCACACGCCCGGCCCGAGCAGGGTGAGCCGCTGCCCCGGCGTGCGCCGCTGCGTTGTTGGCTCTGGGCGGCCGCTTGGCCTACTGCCGCCTCTTCCCGACGGCGCCGCCGATTCTGCGTGGTCCGAACAGCTCCGCGGGTGCTCTGCGAAGCAGACCGGCGCGGGGCCGTGTGGGGAGCTGATGTGGTTATCCCAGCGGGGGTTTGGATCCGGGGGTCTCTCGTCTAGGCCTTTTCTGCCACCGTTCGCCAGCTGGGTGCAGAATCAGGGAATTTGCCTGGTTTCATTTAATAAGGGCAAAGCAGGGATTGTGAAGGCTGCGGTAGCATGCTGTTTAAGGTGGTGTTCTGTCTCTGAACATATGAAGGGTAGCAAGAAATTTGTGTTAATAGAAGCATATGCTTAAATAAGGAAATTACTTTTGCAGAGGGTACCTGATGATCACGACTCACATCCTTCCGTTTTGCTTTATACTGTAAATGTGAATTGGAAACTGATCATTTACTACAGTATAGAGGATGTTTACAGTCGTATTTCTAATTCATTCATTTGAAAAAGTTATTTTGCACAGCTCTTTTCTAATTATCACTTAAACCTTTGGAGACTGTATTTCACAAGACTTGTGTAATTCTTTCCCAAGTCGCTAAACAATAAAAAGGAATGCAAAAGCTATATTGTGTCTTCTTAAGTTGATAAGTGTAGATCTAAATTAAATTGTTTGTTTAATACATGCTTTATCTTTTTTGTTTTTTCAGTCTTCTAGTGTGTTTTAGTGATATGTACTGTCATGAATGGAAAGGAAGAATAGAAAGAAAACGAAAATTCTGCTTGTTCATGAATGTATATTCAGCATATTGGTAGTTCTGTGTGCCTGGGAATGTGCAGCATTAGCATGCCAGATCCATCTGATTTCATATGCTTTGTGTATTCACTAAAGTGGATGTCTGAAGTTGTTGCTTTTGTACAGGAAGTACTTTTAATTATAGAAATGCATCTTTTAATTGCCACATACTGTAAACGGCACTATGGTACGTAGAATTGAAAGGTAAATTTTACAAGTGTTCAAAACAATCTTTGAGTCTAGCTGGAAAACTACTTTAGTAGGGATGTGGAGGTAATTCTCGAACAGAACAATTGAACTGCTGTTGGAATGTGTTCTTTCTTTTTCCACTGTCATGTTTTCTGTATGTTCATCCTGTAACTGCTGATGTTTTCTGGACCTGTGTTGAGACAGTCTTCTATAATGGTGCTTACTGAGTTTTAATTGAAGCCCTTTGTAAAACTTCCTAAGTCAATTTCATTTTAAAAGCCTCTTTAAAATGTATTTTAAATTAAAAAAAAAAACAAACTAACATCAACTGAAGTCACCAATGAAAAAGATCAGAAACAAAAGATGGATGAATGAATACCAGGGACACTTTATGTGCAGATGAACTAGTAAGAGTCAAACCTTACTGTCAACTGCAGTGAATAACTTTTGGCTTTCTGTTCTTCAGTCTTTCAGAATGCCTTTTTCCAATGCAAATTATTCCACTGTAGACATCTATTACTTCTGACTTTCCTAGCCAACTGAGCTGTCATTTTGTTAAACATTTATAGTTGTACTATAGATCTGTGAGTAGTAGGTCACAAAACAAATCGCTTCCATCACTTAAACTCTATTACTGTTTACTTCAAGAGCAAAAGTACTGGAGCTCTTTGGAATAAGGAAGGCAGCAGGATGGAAGTCCAGTTATAGAAGCTAGGCTTGGAAAAGTGAAGAAAAATAATTTATAAACTCAGGAAAAGTTTCTGGGTGTTGCAAGATTATAAACTGGTTTAATATATTGATTCATCCATTCTCATATTATAAAAAAAATAGACTGATACCTTGAACTCACAAACAACGCTGAGACTACTCACCACTTTTGATTATGAAAGCTGCTAGACATAAAGGACTTTGAAGAACCATATATACATGACAGGACAAGAATGCATGTGTCTATATGTTGTATGTATGCTTTTTTTTTTTTGGTAATTTTAGTTGAAAATACTATTTTTCCAGGCGTTACAAATGAGAAGTATATTTGAATAATAATACTTCACACCTGCTACTATGTTTTGTTTGTTTGTTTTTGATAACATGTATATGATGTTATGATAATGCAGGAGATTCATCTGGAAATAAGAAAAAACACCCTTACAAATCTGGGATTTCTAACACCATGACACTTAGTATGGTTTGATATATTTCAGATTTAGGGAAGAAACAGACGAGTGTGGAGCTAAGCAATAGATTTAGCTTTATTGTTCTGAGGTGAGCAGTTGGTTCATGAGATTGGTCTTAACAAAAACTTCATTTACTATCAATCTCCACTCAAATACATATATTCTTTCTATATTTAAAGTCTTCAGCTAAGTGTATTTTTGTTTTAAGGGTAGCTGCTTGTAACATTATAATGCGATGGAAGGTACAGCAATAATAGTGGGCTGGCAAAGTCTTTCTTGGGCTGCAGCAAATGAGGACAAGCCCAAACGCAGCAGCTGTGAACGCAGAATTGAAGGGGAAAAAAAACTGCTTCCCTTTGGAAGGTATCAAATACACAGAGATCTCTGGAGTCCCTCAGCTCCACTGCCAACCCTTACATGAGGTCTGTGCAGGGGTGGATCCTGGCTCCATCCTTTCTATCACTCTGTACATTGCTTGCACCTAAGCTCCCCTGTGCTGGCCCTGCCTTCCCACCAGCTGCTCCATGACTGAACATCATGACTGAGCATTCCTGCTACACTACACCTGTATTGAACTTTCTTAAATGACTTAGTTTTGACTTTGTTTGCTGGCATACTAGGTTGAATCATCATGTCAAAAGAAAAACTAGTCTTTACATTGTTTGCTGTGTGACTCCTTTAGAATTTCATGAGGATATAGAGGTCAATGGCTTAATGTCCAGATAGAGATCAGTGATGAGTGGCATCCCTTAGGGGGTTATGCTGGGGCTGACACTCTTTTATGTCTTTATCAATGACATTGACAGTGGTATTGAGTTGCACACTCGAAGTTTCTGGATGACGCCATGCCTGATGTGTTGATGTGCCTGAGGGATGGGATGCTGTTCAGAGAGACCTAGACAGGCCGAGCAGTGAGCACAGGAGAATCTCATGAGGTTCAACAAAGCCAGGTACAAAGTCTTGCACCTTGGTCACGGCAACCCCCACTAACAAAACAAGCTGGGGGTCAAAAAAATTTAGCACAGCCTTGCCAAAAAGGACTTGGGGGTCGTGGTGGATGGTAAGCTGGACATGAATCAGCAATGTACCCTCACAGCCCAGAAAGCCAACCGTATCCTGAGCTGCATAAAAAGAGATATGGTTGGCAGATCAAGACGAATTATCTTGATCCCTCTACTCTGCTCTGGTGAGGCCTCGCCTGGAGCACTGCATTCAGATGTGGAGTCCTCAGTACAGGAAAGATGCAGACATGGAGTGCTTAATAACAGGGTCAGAATATCAACCTTACGTTACGGCATAAAGCTTAAACTTGAGTTATTTTTTTAGTAAGAGCATCCATAAGAAATTTAATGCATTTATTCCTTTAACAAGCCTGCACAGCCAAGTCATATAAAAATCAATTTCTTAGAGTTTTTAAACATGAACCACATGAAACCCTAAACCTAATTCTCCCCTCCTTCCTCCTTTTTTAAGGTTCTTTGCGAAGTCTTTTCTAATGGATGCTTTGTCCTAGCCTATGTTTAGGTCATCTGTCTTTTAAGAGTGAAATATATGCTATAGCATAGGAATTTACTATTTCATTTTTGAAAGCAAAAATTTATTTTTTTTGGAGATGAACACTGCCATCACCACAGCAATGAAAGAATCTGAGATCAAAGAATAACTTAGATTGGAATGGACTTCAGGAGGTCATCTAATCCAACGTGCTACTTAAAGCAGATGAATTAGTGACTTGACATTGTTTTTACAATGGCAACAGACCAGAAAACTTCCAGTTACAAGATGCCATTAAAGCCTTCTTATTTATTTCTGTAAAGATAATGCTTGATGGTAACTCAGTGGGATGACTTTTTCTGCTTCTAACTCTTTGTTTAGCAGCTTCTGAAGTGACTGGTAGTATATCTGAAAGCATAAGTCCTACATGCTGAGTTTATGCTCCCACTTGGTGGATAGCATAACATGCACATAAGGGTGCAGTCAGTATATTGAGAACTTTAGAAACTGGATAACCTTTCAGATTTCTGAAATATTGTTTTATTACTGGGTGAAATTTTTAGTTAAAGGACAACAACCACAGCATTAGAGGTGCCCTCCAGCTATACTGGATGCACCTTTCCCTTCCCCCTCAAGAAAGTCCAATAATTATTTGAAGATCCTGGATTTAGCAATGCCGCACAGCAAAGTAATCCCCTCAGTGCACTTTAACTGAGTATTTCTCCTATTGTTTTCTAGCTTGGCAGTAGCTCAGTAAGAGCCATTGTGGTTTCTTGGGAAGCTAGAAATAAGATTTTAAAAATGCTTTGTACAGTTAACAAACGTACAGTTAGAAGAGTGGTGTGGTTAGGATGGTATTTTGCAAGTTTACAGTTAGATAATTTTGGTGGAAAGAGACAATCAAAAAATAAATGAAATGCTCACCCGTGTCCCAGGCTGGAGTAGAAACTCCAAAGGAAGGAATCTCCAGAAAGAGATTCTTCCCTAATGGCAGTCAGCCCTTCAGTGGATCCAGGAGAGCTGCAGCCAGGCTCCAACCCTTGCTGTCACTCTGCTGAATTGCCTGCACCTGTGCTCCTGCAGCTGACTCAGCCCTTGCCTGAGGTGATCAGTCAGTGGTTCAGGCCATGACTCAACAGTTCCCATACACACTTGAATACAGCCTATTTGATAAAGCTCCGTATGTAATCAGTCCAAATACTTAGTTGATTTTTTGAGAAAAACTTTGTCAACTTTTGATTCTTGCCTGTAGCCTGAAGTCATAGAAGAGACTTGAGAGGAAATGAGAAAGGCGCTTGAAAGAGATGCGAATTTATTACTTGTTACACTAAGTGATTACACAAGTGAGATGTGTGAGGGAGCCTATTAGGAAAGGACGTGTTTGGCCATCTTCATTCTGGTGCCAAAGTCATGCCTATTTTGTGCCACAAAAATTCTCATAGCAGTCTTGCAAGAGAGCTTTTCATACATCCAGAGCTTACATCAATCACAGCATTCTTCAGAACACAAAGGTAACAAGCAAAAGTATATTTGAGAACTGGTGCCAGTACTGGGGCTTCTGTTGTGATTGCTGTTTAAATCCAGGATCGTGTTCCTCATACAGATGTAACTTTAAAACAGTTGGTTCTCTTTGAGAATTAGATATGTTTGCCTTTTTATCTCTTTCACTCTCTTGTTTTTGTCTGGAACTTCATCTAAAGGAGGTGACTTTAACAAAAGCAAAATTTGTTAAAAAGAGAGAGTGGATTTGAAATAAATAGATTCATCATGACAATTGCATTGTTTTTCATTATTCTCATTGAATGCTACGTTCGCAGTCTGCTGTTTTATAAAGGAAAGCAGGACTTGAAACTTTCTGAAAGTAGGCTGCTTGTTAATTACTTTGGTTAGCTTGTCAACTCTTCTGTCAAATAGTTGAACTCCTATTCTGCCTTAAATGCTGACTTACAAATTCCTTCTATCCTCCATATTTCTCAATGAATTTTATTTAGTTATCTATATTTATCTAAACATCCAAATTGACAGTTTTCTCTAAAACATGCACTGCTGTTGCTTTTAAAATCTGTTTTTCCAAGGCTCCAATATTTTAGTTCATCCTTTCATAGGTCACCTTGATGCTTACTTTGACAGACCTCTCAATAGGATTCCTTGAACACTTCTGAAATAAGACATAAACTGTGTGCATCCTGACTTTCTGACAAAATGCAGTAGAATCCATCCTTGATTTTAGAATTTTCAGTGCAGTAGATATAGGAAATGAAAAGCTCAAAATAATCATTGCATAGAACCCTTCTGCATGTTTGTATTGACTTTTTTTTTTTTTGCATGTCTAGCTGCCAGTTTGCACTAAACTTAAGGAGGTGTCACTTATCAACTCTGGCAGTAAAACGTCTCTGAAACAGACTAAAATGGTTTGTATTAGAGTTTGTACATACAGGAACTCCACACCGTGTTGCTGAAGCAGACAGGCTGTTCATACTGTAGAAGGCTACGAAAAACAGCTTTCTAATGAAAGTTTTGGGTCACTCTTTTATTTCTTAAATCCCATCTAAAATATTAGTAAGATATTCAATTAATTACAGCTGCAAGTGTATAATATGGGAAGTAAATTTTTCATGTGTGGAGATATTGTGGAAGGGAAAAATAATTTAATTTGTGACTAAAGATTCAACAAAGTTGCATGTTAAGATTGATAATGATAAAGCATGGAAATTGAAATGACGAGAGAACTCTATTTACTTGTAAACAAAATTACTGTAGTCAAGTATTTTGCAGAATTTTACAAAACTTTTTTTTGTTTGTTTGCTTTAAAGGATCTTCATGTTGGTGTTGTTTATGCCAGAACATAACAAGCAAGGCAAATTTGCTCCAGTCTTGTGTCAACTTTGTGTAACTAGCAAACACGATGCAATTGAGTATGAAATTCAGGTGACTTTGGAAATGAAGAAAAAGTTCTGAGCTCTCTGACTGGAAGCTGAACGTGATGACGGCCTGGTCTATGGTAGGGAAACTGAAAATGGAGAAGAGGCACTCCAGAGAAGAGAGAAATGTGGAACAAGATGCTGGGGAATGCAGCGCTGAATCTGAGGAATGGACGAGCTCAGAAAGCGAACCTGAGCAACCGTACTTCCGAAGCAGCTGTAGCAATATTCCATGGAGAGAAAAAGAGGCTTCCACTAAACCACATCGGCCACTCTGTCGCTCCCCATGCTTGGATCGCCCAAGTTTTTCACAGAGCAGTATCACACAAGACTTGAAACTAGAGGAATGCAAAACAAATTTGGACAAGGAATACCAAGCTAAAATGGATTTTGCTTTAAAGCTTGGGTATGCAGGAGATCAGATCCAGGCTGTACTGAATAAACTGGGAGCAGATGCGCTCATCAATGATGTTCTGGCAGAACTTGTGAGACTTGGTAACAAAAGTGAATCAGAGGGACAGAACAGCAGTACCACTAATACTCTGGTGCCAAGAGGTCCTTGCCCAAAGGAAATAGCAAGCCCTGAATTGTCACTTGAAGATGAAGTTGTGGATAACAGTGATAACTTGAGGCCAATTGTCATTGATGGAAGCAATGTGGCTATGAGGTGGGTCTCCCTCTTGCAACATATGAAAAGAAGAAAAATGACAAAAAATATTGATGTGAAAAAATCTATATCGGTGCTGGGGAATTTAACTGTACTATGCTGTGTTTTGTTTTATTCAAGTCCTTAAGCAATACTGAAAAAATATTAATGTCCAGAGGCAATCGAACAGGGGAGTTAAAAATAGTTTGAAATGACATTAATATATGCTGATGGTATGCGCTGGACTTGAGAAAAGTTGAACTACTGCTGATCAAGCCTATTCAGAAGTCAAAGCAATTTAGCAATGTCAGTACAGGGCTATGCATGAGCTTAGCCTGCCGACTCACACAGCTGTGGTACTTGTGAATTGAGACGCGCCTAAGCACAAGGCTACTTGAGTCTACACAACTCAAGCTGTGGTCAACATGGATCTGTACTGGGTCTTATAAGGGGTGGAGTTAATTTTCCCCACAGCAGCCCATGCCATGTTGTGATTTGCACTTGTAACTAGAGCAGCATTGATATTACACCAGTGTTTTAACTGTTGCAGAGCAGTGCTGGCACAGCATCAAGGCCATCTCTCCAACCCCACCTCCCTTGGCCGGTAGTCGGAGGGTGGACAAAAGGTGGGGAAGGGACATCACCGTTGCAGCTGACATAAATAGACCAAGCAGATATTCCAGACTATGACATCATGCTCAGCAGTAAAAGCTCTGGGGAAGAAGGAGAAAGCCAACTGTATCCTGGGCTGCATAAAAAGCAGCATGTCCAGCAGGTCAAGGGAGGTGATTCTCCCTTGTGAAAGCCCACCTAGAGTACTGCATTCAGCTCTGAGTTCCCCAGCACAAGAAAGATGTGGACTTTAAAGTAGCTCTTTAGAGGAGGGCCACAAAGTGGCAGGCCTAGAACACCTGTTCTACAAAGAAAGACCGAGAGAGCTGGAGTTGCTTAATTTGGAGAAGGCTCCAAGAAGTTCTTTCAGTGCATAAAGTGTGTTTATAAGACAGACTTTTCTTTTTTAAACAAGTATATGTAGTGATAGGACAAGGGTTAATGGTTTTATACTGAACTAGAGTAGATTTAGATTAGGCATTAAGAAATTCTGCACTGTGAGGTTGGTGAAAAACTGGCACAGGCTGCCCAGATGGCCCATTCCTGAAAGCATTCAATGTTGAATGGGCCTTTATGCAACCTGATATAATGAGAGACATCCCTGCTCATGGCAACACAGTTAGACTAGATGATCTATAAAGGTCCCTTCCAACATAGACCATTCTATGATTCTGATTCTCATTACGTACACATTTGTCTTCCCAAGCAACCACTATATGTATTTACGTCCTGCTTCCCAATAAGTGGAAGAACATTGGATGCTGATGAGAAGCATTTGCTTCTGTGCAGCCTTTGCTTTTAATTCATTGAACTCCTGTCTCAGACCCACTAGGATTTATTTTTTTCCTCCACCTCATTTTCTCCCACCTCTTACTAGGGTGAGTGAGAGAACAACTGCAGTACTTGTCTGCCTGTTAGCATTAAGCTACACCACAAACCAAAAAGATATTTTTGTAAAGCAACATCACCAATATTGATTTTACTTTTTTTTTTTTTTAAAACTGTTTGTTATATTTTCAGTCTCTGTACTGCCTGAGTAACTCCTGAGCACTGTGTGACAGCAGCTGGCAAAAATTGTATACTCTTATTACTGCATACCTGTGAATACTCTGTTTATGAAATAAATTATGTATGCATTTGAAAATATAAAAGAATATTATATTCTGTGAAATCCAAAAAGGGTGCAGAAAATCACTTTAGCAATGCTTTTGCATTAATAATTTAAGTTGCAAGGATTTGGAATATGCTGGTTTTCTGTAGGCCTTAGTTATACTTCTGGTATTAGATACCTGACTGGCTTCATCTGTTTCAGTGTTACTTTCTCCAGTGTTTCGAGCCCAAGTAAAACACGTATTCCACTGCACTCCAGTAATCTGTGATGTTTTTCTCCAATAAGTAAAATTTTGATTTATAATCCATAGAATAATACTAGAGACCTCTTCAGTAAGATGCTACTCTCTTAATAATTCAGCATTCTTGTATAGGCTGAGAATACCAGAAAAGTGAAAGAATAATAATGCTTTTGCCTTCAAAAAAGCTGCATTGATCATGCAAATTGTAGCCTTTAAGGTAAAAAAAAAAAACCATAATTAATGGTGCTTATGTAAGAACACTTCCACTTTCAGTGTAGATTTTTTCTTGAACATTTTTGGAGGATGCTACACAGAACCAACAGCTTGTCTCTGGATGGTTATGACAGCTGGATACTGCTACAAACAAATGCCAGTTGCTTTAATCTGTGGGAGGCATTCCTAGCGTTTCGTGTAGCTACAAGAATCTCCTTAATTACACCAATTGCTTGGACTACTCCCACGTGTTGGGGCACCTATAGGAAAGTTCTCTCCTGTATTTCTCACTGCTAGCTCGTTCTCTCGGTTATTTCTGGTAAGAAGTGTCACATGGCTTTCATAGCATTCTGGAACGCTCCCTAGGAGCCCTACTCAACCATTCTTTGAAAGCAAGGACACTGCTCCTCAATGCAGCATCACTGAGCTGATTGAATTAATGCCTTCTGTAGCAAATGGAATAATCTGAATAAATTAATATAGAAATCCTAGGGAGAATATTGAACTGGACAGCTCCAATGCTGTGTCATAGTTGACGAAAAGCTGCAGTTGTCTTGAGGAAGCAGACAGTTCTGAATGAAAACGCTTTGAGAAAAGCGCATCGAAGAGCACAACGTTGCCTTACCAGCCTGCTCTTTTCAGATGCAATTTTAAAGGTAGTTCATGTTGCTAACTAAAGCGTGACAAAGGGGGATTATTATTTTTTCTTCAGTAAGAGAGTCAACCTTACTTTTTTCCCTAAGTATTTTTTCTTCCTCAATATCACCATATGGAAACAATACATGCACTCTTTTTCAGGGAAAGAAAGCGTTAGCTTGAATCTAAATATGAAATCATTCATAATGCAATCTATACATCCTACATATGTAGAGTAAATACTAAGAACATAATATTTACTGTATGTCCTCTCTACAGTTAACAAATGGACAGTTGAAAAAGTAGCACGGTTAGGAGAGCACTTTACCGGTGTTATAGTTGGAAAGATAACTGTGGTGGAAAAGAGACAATCAAAGAAGAAATGCTCACCCATATCCAAGGATCTTGGCTTGCAGTGGAAAGCTCCAACCAGGAGAGAAATCCAGAAAAAGATCCTTCCCTGGGCTCAGCCAGCCCTTAAGTGGGTCCAGGAGGGGTGCAGCCAGGCTCCGCCCTTCCTGGTCACACCTGAATTGCCTGCACCTGTGCTCCCACAGCTGACTCAGCCTGTGCCTCAGGTGCCCAGTCAGTGGTTCAGGCTGTGGCTCAGCAGTTTCCAGCACAGTCCTCATATGTTATTCAGGCACTTCTTAACTGTTTTCTGAGAAGATTTACAATAAACTTGAAGAATTGTGTTTCATATTTAACAAATCAACCAGTAAGGTAGACTAAATAAGATTTATAATTGATTCTAATTAGTGTCTATCAAATATCTATTTTTTCTTTACAAAAACTTTTAATGCCATTTTATGAATGGAAATGGTATTATACAGCTGCTTCAAACACTCAATTCTGTACAATTGTAAAGACTTAAGTATGTTGCATAAAAGAAGTTTTTGATTAGTTGGAGAAGGGAAGAAAGAGCTTGAAGAACTTTTACAGTAATTTCTCTCTAAAAGAAATAAAGTATTTTTTAATCTAGATGTTTTGAAAGCACCTGTTCCTCATAACAGTCAGCTTCACTAGTTCATTTATTTTTATTATTGCTAACTTTTTTATAGCACTATTTTAGATGAGCTCAATTTTTTGAAGGTGAGTTTTTTCAATAGATCAGCTAATAAAATGAAAAAGTAGAAAAAAATTTTTGTAGTGTGATGGGAAGTGCAAGAATGACAGCAGAGCAGCAGAATTCCAGGCTACAGTAAGGGAAGATTCACTTAAACACAACAGCACTTAGCGCAGGAACGAAGGGGGGAAGGAAGAAGGAGAGAGGGGGGAAAAAAAAAAAAAATTGTCTGGTCTCTACAAATTCTATTTCCCTTATTTACCTACATCATGACAGCTTTAAAAGGAAAAACAACAACAATGAAACCCAGAGCCGAAACTTTTATGTTTGCTGTTTCTGAGTCTTCTGGTGATTTGTTTTTTTTTTTGTTTTGTTTTTGTTTTTTGTTTTTTTCTTCAGCCATGGAAATAAAGAAGGATTTTCCTGTCGAGGAATTCAACTAGCTGTTGATTGGTTTCTGGAGAAAGGACATAAAGATATCACCGTGTTTGTACCTGCATGGAGAAAAGAACAGTCTAGACCAGATGCACCAATTACAGGTAATAGGTCAAGATCTTCTTTGACTTTTTGGTTCAAGTAAATAAGCGTGTTACATTAAGACAGAACTGTGTCATTTTTCTAATGAGAACTACATGCTAAGCTGTGGCCATAGCGTTGCTTGCACTCAACTGAGAACAAAACAACTTCACTGGTGAGGAGCAGTTAAGTATTTGCATCTGCAAAAAAAAAAAATTCTTTTTTTGAAATATAACTGGATTATGTCAGCACTCTTAAGAGGAGATACAAGTTTAGCAAATGTAGTTAAACGGACAGAAAATAATTCTTAGTTCCTGGGCTAGTAGAAAATAAGTAGAATCTGGACAGGGACTCTTTTGTTAGTGCTATCTTGAACACTGAAGAAGCAGAATATATTTTGACCCCATTTGTAGTACTTACATTTTACTCCGAGCTAACAAGAAGGCAGTAATAACTGAGTTATCATAGAATGGCCTGGGTTGCAAAGGACCACAATGCTCATCAGTTCCAACCCCCTGCTGTGTGCAGGTCACCAACCAGCAGCCCAGGCTGCCCAGAGCCACATCCAGCCTGGCCTTGAATGCCTGCAGGGATGGGGCATCCACAGCCTACTTGGGCAACCTGTTCCAGTGCCTCACCACCCTGTGTGAAAAACTTCCACCTCATATCCAACCTAAACCTCTCCTGTCTCATTTTAGAACCCTTCCCCCTTGTCCTATCACTATCCACCTTCATAAACAGCTGTTCCCCCTCCTTTTTATACACTCCCTTCAAGTATTGGAAGGCCACAATGAGATTTCCCAAGCTAAACAAGCTCAGTTCCTTTTCTAACTGTTCGTGAAAATGGATATTTACAGGGGAGTACAGTGGTTATGAAGCTAAAATACAGGATATTTACTTAGTGCTTTGAAAGATCAGAAATGTCATTCTCCTTCTAGGTTTTTCTTCGTTTTCTTAAATGAGGATTATATGTGCACATAATAATAAAATTATTTCTCAGAAAAGAGGAAAAGTGTAATATTTCATGGGCTGTATTTCTTCACAAACGTTTAAAGAAGTTGCTTAAGTAAACTTATTTTACAGATCAAGAAATCTTACGGAAATTGGAGAAAGAAAAAATTCTTGTTTTCACCCCATCTCGAAGAGTTCAGGGGAGAAGAGTAGTTTGCTATGATGATCGATTCATAGTAAAGCTTGCTTTTGACTCAGATGGCATAATTGTATCAAATGACAACTATCGAGATCTTCAAAATGAAAAACCAGAATGGAAGAAGTTCATAGAGGAGCGTCTGTTAATGTATTCTTTTGTGAATGATAAGTATGTTTTTTCCTTCAAAAATTAAGAGAATTTGCCAATTCTGAGCCCTCAGTAAAAGCTGAAATTCAAATTTCATTTCTTTCCCATTAGATTTATGCCTCCTGATGATCCTCTAGGACGCCATGGTCCAAGCCTTGAAAATTTCTTAAGGAAAAGGCCAGTTATTCCTGAACATAAAAAACAACCGTGTCCTTATGGTAAGTGCTTAAGCCATATAGATGTGCTCTGTTCAAAGGTAGGTGAAGCGAGCAATTAATAAACATTTTGGCATTAGTAGCCATCCAAGCACCATATCCTTTTTTATATCCATCACGCGCATATTAATAAAAATAATATAGCAAAAAATTAAGGCTATCACAGCTTTTTGCTATTTTTTTCTGGTTTGTATTCAATAAAAGAGATTTATAACTACACAAATTGTGTTAGGAATGTTTTATATAGCATTGAGTATGTTGTCAGTATTGAACTCATGAATGGTAGGAACAAAAGTGATGCAGTGATATACCTGGTTACAGGTAGTAGCAGTCTGTGAATGCCTGCACATGTAATTATTCTTAACAATGATAATACAGAAACATTACAACTAAGAAAAAGTGAAAGGTATGAAGAAAAAGGTAGCGGGCAGTAGTATCAATGTTTGATTTATTTAACTTGAAATCACTTTTCTTACAGGTAAAAAGTGCACCTATGGGCACAAATGTAAATATTACCACCCAGAACGGGCAAACCAGCCTCAAAGGTCAGTAGCGGATGAGCTTCGAATAAGTGCCAAATTATCTGCTGTGAAAACAATGAGTGAGGGAGCCTTGGCTAAGTGTGGCACAGGGCCCTCCAGCTCCAAAGGAGAGATCAGTTCTGAAGTGAAACGCATTGCCCCAAAGCGTCAGTCAGATCCAAGCATTAGATCAGTAGCTGTGGAGCCTGAGGAAAAGTTAACAGTAGCCCGGAAGTCCGAGGCCAACTCTGTCCCATCTCTGGTTTCTGCATTAAGTGTACCAACGCTCCCTCCACCAAAAAGCCATGCAGCTGGTGCATTAAATACTCGATCTGCAAGCAGTCCAGTGCCAGGTTCCTCACAGTTCACGCATCAGAAATCCTCACTGGAACACATGTCCAGTGTGCAATATCCTCCAATATTAGTCACCAACAGCCATGGCACCTCAGTTAGTTACACTGACCAGTATCCCAAATATGAATCGTTAGGGGACCATGGCTATTATTCCTTACTCAGTGATTTCTCCAACTTGAGCATGAGTAGTATGCATAACACAGATTATTACGGGGCTGATATGGACCAGGGGATGTATTCTAGAAACTCAAGCCCCTGTCCTGACAATTGCTTAAGCCATACAAGTAATGATTCTTATTCCTCTTACAATGACTTGTATCTGGGTGTAGCAGATGCCAGTCCAGAAGATAATGTGAAGATCCACAGACTGACATCGCAAAATCGTCTTCAGCCTTTTCCCCATGGTTACCATGAAGCCTTAAATAGAGTTCAGAGTTTTGGAACTGAAGAGCCTAAACAATCCCTTCGCAAACAGTCTGTTTCCCACTTAGGCCTGCATGCCCAGCATCCAGTTGTTGGAGCACGGTCCAGTTGTCCAGGAGAATACCCTGTGCCTCAAAATATTCATCCATCAACTGCACAATCAAGCCGTGCCTTGGTCATGACAAGAATGGACAGTATTTCTGACTCACGGCTTTATGAAAGTAATCCTACAAGGCAGAGGAGACCACCTCTGTGTCGAGAGCAGCATGCTAGTTGGGATCCGTTACCGTGTGCAACAGACTCTTATACTTATCATTCATATCCACTGAGTAACAACCTCATGCAGCCATGTTATGAACCTGTAATGGTCAGAAGCATGCCGGAGAAGATGGAGCAGCTGTGGAGGAATCCATGGATTGGGATATGTGGTGAGCCACGGGAGCCACACGTTATCCCAGAGCATCAGTATCAAACATACAAGAATCTTTGCAATATTTTCCCGCCAAGCATCGTCCTTTCTGTGATGGAAAAGAATCCCCACATGACAGATGCGCAACAGCTGGCAGCTATGATTGTTGCCAAATTAAGAACAGGGCGTTGAAATATTATAACCTCTTTTGTATAAATGAGACTGTACAGCACATAGGAACTGGTAGAAAAATTATATAAAGAAGGAAGTAGGCAAATCTATTGTAAATATTTTCTAATAAGGTAGGATAAACTTCTGTACACAGTAGTTGTTGTATATGTATTGAGGCACTATTTAAGAGTTGACTGTATTGTAAATTTTAAGATTTTAAAAATAGAGATTTTTAATAGTATTTTACAGGAAGTGCATACCTTGCTGCATGGATAGTTCATGAAGAACTACAATGTCACATTCAGTGTCTCAAAGCTTTTAATACAAAATTATTATTAGCAGTTGTATTGCATGTATTAATGTACACTTTCAATTTGATTATAAATACCTAATTGGCCTTTCAAAGCATGCTGTATACAATCCCGGATGACTTCTAGGGTTTCAGCTTTGCCATTTGACGCCGCCTATTGGTACCTCAAATATTGAAGAAAAATAACTTGACAAAAATTATTCAATTTGTAAGACGCTGAATCTCTTTCAGCTTTTGGATGTTAATATTGTTGGTATTTCTTAAATTTCAAAACTGTTCCCCATGAGTTTATTACTGTTACTCCAGTCCAACAGAAGCCAAATGCTTCATTAAATTAGGACCAAAACATTAAGGAATATGAAGGCATGATAAAACTAAAATATGTTTTAACTGTAGCTTCCCTCTTCAGAATTCAGAATCATCTGCTGCTCCAGATGATTAGAAAAGATGAAAGAAAATTGTTAGTTGTGTATGAATTGGATTACTCAGATTCCAATAGCAGGAACTGAAAGTTAATGCAGAAACTCATCTGTATCTACAGCCCTTCTGTGGGCAAGGATGGCATTTAACATGCAATACGGCCATAGAAGATCAACCTGTGAAAGGAGTGGGAGTGGCCATTCCTTGAAAAGAGATGCTACAGTTCAGGTTTGTGGCAAAGCTTGCTTGGTTTTGCTCTTCAGATCCACGCAGAGGTGTGCATTTGCCTCATGGCCGTTTCTAAAATTTCTGTTTAAACAAGTGAGAAGATTTTGTGTGGCATTGTTTGCTCAACTGGTATTTTGCTCAGGGTGGGAACCTTTGTAGCTAAATGTCTCCAAAAGAGGCGTTTCTTGTTTTTTAAGCTGCACTGACTGAACGCCCTTTTTTGACTCCATTGTATATTTCAACATTTTGAACCATTACTAACTCGATATGTCTCGAGCTAGAACTTAATGACTTCTACTGTAGTTTTTTTCATGAAAGCTGAGAAGGCCTAGTTTATGGCCTTTTGTTTCTTCATGAGAAGGTGTGACACTGCCTAAATGTTTCTTACTGTGAAACACACGGAATGCGAGGCTGCAGTCAGGGTTGTTTCTGGTGTTTTGATAACGGCTTGCATGCTGCTTTCTCACTCTCTGTTTGTCTAAGGAACAAAACATCATCATTTCCACATCTGCATTACTGTATAAGTGATTGGTTTGATTCACAATATTGTTCAGGCTATTTATCATGGGCAAAACGTATTCCTGCAGGTCAAAAGCAACAAAGAAAACCATTATAGGTGCAATGACAGTTAATGTACCGATAATAACCACATCATTTCACACATGACAAATATTCTTCTGTTGGTACAAGGAACATATATAATGACCACATCATTACACATTTGAGTTAACTTGAAGGTGATTTGAGTTTACACTCAGTGTTTAAAAATAACTATGTTTTAACTAGTTGTCACAGTTATTGTCACTGTTAATAGTAAATCTCTGGATACCTATAGTAACTGGAGGAAACAGATTGAACTCTTGACCAGTATCCAAAAACATTTCTTACTAACCACCATTTTAGATTTTTAATTTGCAATTAATTCTTATTCTCTTCTCTTGCATGGTATTAAGCAGCTGAGAGCAATGCCTCAAATAACCAGAAATGACCTTTTGTTTGTTGATACAAATTGTATCTCTTTTTCTTGATTGTATAAAAACTGTTTAAAAAACAAAAAAAAAAAAACAAAAACAAAAAAAAACAAAAACAAAAAAAAAAACCAAAAAAACCTAACAACCCATAAACCTCTAGATTAACTTCAGTATTACATGTTCACCACCGTGTTTGTGACACCATGTGTCACACAGAAGTAGCCCATGAGTAATTATGATTTTCTGTTATTTAAAATGGGCACTTATAGTTTATAGATGAGCAAGACAACTTCTCAGAACTGGTTTATTATGTGCACAGATACTGTGTGTACACCTCAAAGCATTACATGGTTATCTTTAGTCTATTAAGCAGATTCATCCTTGCACTAAACCTTATGTAAAAATGTTGCTGTTAACTCACCTGCATGTGTTTAAAATAGTAACAATATAATTACTATAGACCTTGCTTTATTCTAAACGCATTAATTTATAATTTATGTAGGCTTAAAATGAAGTTTATTTTGCACTCACATTTTCCATCTTGCATGGAATTAAATATTTGTATGTAAAAACACGTTTGTCCCCTTTTTCTCCCACTATAAAGGTAAGCTATCTTAAGAGGGCTTGGTGGGTGTTTTTGATATTTTAATGTGTAGAAGCCTGAGCAGAAGTTACTGTGTGAAGCTGTGCGTGATTTATGGACAGTCATTCTTGTAGGACTCGTCGACTTGTTTTCATGTTCACGATCTTTGTCTTACTGACAAGAAAAAGGAATTATTCCAAACAGAAAGGCTGTGGTACTGCAAACACAGCATGCCATTTCTGTAAGGCACTCTGAAAGCTAATTGTCATTTTATAAAAAGCTATTTGCATCCATCCTACGCAGAGCTACTGAATGGGCAGTGTAGCCTTGTGGAAATAATTTGCAAACGTTGTGCTTGTTTAGTCCACCTTAGAGGAAATGAAGCTTTTATTCGTGATGTAGTCTTTCCTAACCCACCAGTTAAGTGACAATTCCAATATCTGCATCTGTTCTCAGATATGTTTACAAGCCAATTCAAAACACTGACTTAATCTTCAGCGCAAAAGCTTAGATTTCTTCTTACATGGAAGAGTTGATCTTATTAACACATGATCATAACTGTCTATATTGTAAATATAAGACTCTGTGTAAATGCTCTGAGAGCATGGTATGTAGATGTTTTTAAAACTGTAAGTAAGCAGTTCTAGAAACTATATTTTAATAAAATCCAAAAGATTCTAGCTGAGGAACTGCAGAAAGAAAAAAAGTGCTAAGATGAAATCTTGCAAGGAAGCAGCAGCAGAGCCAGTGCTTACTCTGGGCATTCTGAATAACTGATCTTTAGTTTTCAGCTGTATTACTTTCACATAATTTATCACTTAAGAGTGCATAATGTTAAATTCTTGATTCAAAACTCAAATGCTTTATTGGAAGTCAGCCTAATTTTGTGTGTTTTTGTAATAATTACATGTTCATAATATATTAAGTTGTACATATAGAACATTTGACTACTGTTAGTCCTGTTGTTGTCTTATTGAGCTACAGTAGTGGGCTTTATCCGTTTGTAGAATTAAACGTTACTGTTTAATTGTTGTAAAATTTTATAAATCTCTTTGGGTTATTTTGGTTGACCCAAATATAATGTAAGTCTCAATGACAAAATGAGTGAAAAATGGATGTTAAGCCAATATGTGGTATTTAAAAAACACTGTAGTAAGTGTGCAAACTCTCTAGATGCTGCTGCATGGGTATCATTCACTAGCATGAGTCTGTTTAGCTTTTTGTAAAAATCTTTTAAATTTAAACTCTTAAAAAAATATTAAGTGGGCATATGGTTGCTTAGGCCAAGCAGAAGAATCCTCATTAAATACAACAAAAAACAAAGCATCTGTTTAGGAACAGATACTCTGAATTTTGGCATTTTGGAATTCTTACTGGTAAAGCCAGAACCTGCAAAGAATAAACGTGAGCTGAGAAGCCTGTTTAAAACTTGGTTGGTTGGTGGTGTGCGTGCGTACCTGTGACACCCCCCAAGCTGCTATCAGGAACATTCAAGGGAACACGTTTTGAGTGCAGTCATTCTAAAAATTCCATGCTAAAAAGAAGGTCTGAGCTTCATTTCTGTACCCATCTGCCCCACAGAAATACTGCTTTTTCTTGACTTGCCAAAAGTTAACGTGAAACATTGGTAGCACCAGACTCCTATTAGCCAGATCATGAGAGCTGTCATTATTAGCGCTACAGTTCAGCATTCAGCATCAATGCAGCTTTTATGCACCCCCCCCATTAGGAGGCTGTGTGACAGAGCATAGGATTGCAATGGTGTTCCTTGCAGTACTTATACAGGAAAAAATACAGGTTTGCTGTTACTTCAATTACTCTCATGCCAGTGTTTGCTTAGCCTTTGAAGATCCATTATATAGTCTCTATGATTTTGGTCTTTGGTATTTTGAAGTTTGTAAACATACTAAAATTATTGAGAGGAATCCAAAACTAATACAGTCTATTACCTGTAGCCTCCCTGCTCTGTGTAGAAGGTTTGCACAGCTATTTAATACACATGAAATGTTATACTTTATATTTACCTATATAAAACCTGCTTATTTAATAAAACTGAGAGCCACTGGATAATTTGTTTCTAGCCTTTTTTTTTTTTTTTCCCCAGCCCTCTTAAGAGAGAGCCTCAGAAGAGCTTTTTGTCCCAAACAACTGTCACAACACATCCAGGTTATATTTCAACATTCCTTGTTGATTTACAGGAAGAATACCCAAATTGTGAAGTCATATAATGCTCAGCTTCTGTGTTTAAATCTGCATAGAGAAAGGATGAGAGTAAGGATGCTCCATTTTACTTGAAAAAAAGCAGAGGAGAAACTTCTTTGTGTTAATTAGGTCCCACTTCTCATCAATCTTTCTATTAAATCAATTTTCTTCATCTATTTCAACACCTCATCATTTCACTTTTCAGGGGAAGGATACAGCATCACAGTGATTTGATTCGAAATTACTTCAACTGTTTTGGGGAAACAAAACAGGGGAAGGAAAATGATATAAAAGGATCACCTTTATCTGTATCTCTATTTGCTCAAACTTCTACCACTACCATGTTTGCTTTCACAATAACCAGGAGGATCCAGGTACTTCAAAAGACAAAATTATTACAAAACATTAAAATACACATATTACAAAGTTTCTTCCACATCTCCCTTTATGATTAGTCAGAACAGCCCTCACAGACACTTACTGAGAAGTATTAGATTCCACAGGATGCTCTTGCTGCTCCGGTTTTCTCCCCAGCACTGTAATCCTTTCTTAGCACAGGAGGTCCATTGGAGAGTGACTGCTCTTATCATTCAGGAAGCAAAATATTTAAGACTTGAACAGGCAGGAATAAGTTACAGTAATGATTCCATTGTTGCATTATGTGAAAGTGATGGTCCCAAGGCCACAGCTTCCTCAGTGACTCTCATTTGCATCATTTATCCTTGCAATCTTACGTAAAGCTCCAAAATAAAGACCGAGAGGGGACCTGATCCAGGTCTATCAGTATCTGAGGTGTGGGGGCAGAATGGCGAGGCCAGACTGTTTTCAGTGGTGAGTGGAGACAGGACAAGGGGAAACGGCTGGAAACTGCAGCATAGGAAGTTCCGCACAAACATGCGCAAGAACTTCTTTACAGTGAGGGTGACGGAGCGCTGGAACAGGCTGCCCAGGGAGGTGGTGCAGTCTCCTGCTCTGGAGATGTTCAAGACCTGCCTGGATGCCGACCTGTGCGACCTGCTGTAGGGAACCTGCTTTGGCAGGGGGTTGGACTCGATGAGCTCTGCAGCTCCCTTCCAACCCCTGCAATTCTGTGATTCTGTGAAAATTATTATTATTATTATTTTTAATCTCCAGTCCCTTCTAGAGCTTCACTTGGAGGTGGTATTGCAGACAGTAGAAACCTGTCTGGAAAGAAATTTACAGAGGGGAAAAGGCAGACTCAAGCAATTTAAAGCAAGGGAAAAAATTAAGCACTGAAGGAATACATCAACACGGCTTTTCTTAGTCCCCCCTCAGAACACATTTCTAGTAAGCAAACTAATTAGCATTCTGAAAAAGAAATTTTACTGAGCGCCTTTATCAAGGGAGGAGAAGTTGCATATAGCATTTGTTAGCATGCTTTCCTTTTTGAACTGTTGTTTGCATCTCTTTGAAAGCATAAATAGCACATATAATAACAGTGTTAGCACCTAATGAGAACGGTAACTATAAGGAATTAAAAAGATGCCACTGCACAATGCCACACTGACATCTTCCTGTTATTGTTTAGTTTCTTAACTACTGCAAGTTATTAGACTGATTCAGACAAAAGCTCTGTCTTAAACCCCTGGAAGATACACTCCAACAAATTATTACAGAGAAATAAGTGCTTCAACTCCTAATTTTTTACAAGTAATTGTAGAAGCTGCTAAGCAACAAGAACATTTAATACAAGTTAACACAAAGAAAACTGAACTCAGGGAAAAAAAAGCTGCAAATGCTTGTTCTCATCAATTATCTAAAACAGCAACCAAGTCCATTTCCACATGCTAGCTTATCATGCTAGCTTTACAGCAAAGAGACTTTTCAACCTCAGCAAAGTCATGAATATAAATAACACCAGACAAAACTCACCTGCGTTTGAAATCGTAGCTAGATGAAAATTATAGCATGACCTTATGCTGGCTAAATAATCCAAACTAACAGATGACAGTACTGGTGTCACTGAAAGGGAAGGGCTCTCAGTATTATGACCAACAGGAACCAGCAGACCTCTTCCAGAATATCCAAAAGAAAAACAGAATCCATAAAGAATTTTGCCTTCAGTTAGTGATATTTATTAACCACGAAAAAAAATTAACAAGGGGTTTCCAAAACATAATAACTGTATTTCACAAGCATCAGCTAGAGCTAAAAGTTCTTGACAGTGGTTAAGCAGACAATAGCTACAAGCAGAACAACATGCTTGCAAAACTGTGATTTTATATGGTAAAAAGTAATAAATCCTCATAGAAAAAAAATCCTGGAGTGGCTACTTCCCTGCCACCATCACAAGTTCCTCTCTGTCACTTATCTTGTGCAACATTGAAAGCTGCAGAGCAATTTTCTG